AGCGTCCAAAAGGCAGTGAAGACTTCTCTGCAAGATGCCTGCAAGTATACAAGGACATCTGCTTAGGGTGTAGGGTTTAGGATACCCTAAACCCTAAACTCAGGGGTTTGTGTGCAAAGTGTTGAATGTGCAAACTGTTTGCCCTTCCTGTAGATCATCATGACATCATGCTGGCAGTACGCCGTACGGCTTGAGGCCTGTGCAGTGAGAGCCTCTGCTCTTTTTGCTATTCTATTCTATTGTTCGTCTGCCCTCTTCCCTCACTTGGCACGGGTGTTGCTGATTGCATTAAACGCAGTGCTGTCGTAGTGTGCTTCTCTCGTATCTTTATGCCAAGGTTGTATCGTCAGAACGTATGGCTTCTCTCCAGAAATCGACTCTGCAGGTATGGTTCGAGGCAGGTTTTTCCTTTCTCCAACATAGTATCCATCGAAATCCACCGCATCAGTGGGCTTTGAACTTCCGGAAACTCGACTTATGTTGGGTACTACTCTGCAAGGTTGTATGCAGTTTGTGTGGCGGCTGCGGCTGAATAACAAACACAGTAGATCTCAAAACTGCCGACGCATCTTCCATACGGTTGGTTCTGAAGCTCGTACTACAAACGTTTGGGCCACCACAGCAAGGTTCCCTGCGAACGCTGCCAAGAACAAACTCCGGAACTCACCGTATAATTTCAACAACCCAGTAGCTGAAGTCTTATTGAAACCGAGTAAACAAGGAGTCTATAGCTAACCCCGAATGCAGCCCCACTGCTGCGTTGCTTCTGCTCAGGAATCTCCAGCACAAGCCCTCCTAAACTTAAGCGCCTGGGTTTCGACCATCCCAAGAGGTTTACTATAGGGGCCTTAATAATTTGTGTTGGGTTTCAGGGCATATTACATTACGATGATAGTACGGAACCCCAAAATAGTTTTGGTAATTATTCAGGCCCCTATATTGCACCTTTCCGTTCCTCTTTTGGCGCCTTCTTCGGTTCTCCAAGGCTGAGCCCAGGGTTCTTCACACGCCTGAGCACAGATCCCAGCACCTGGCGGTCAGGGATGTTCGAGCTTCGGTGGTTTAGGGTTTAGGGATTATGGGTATCTTTTCATTCGCGAGGCTTTGTGTCCAAGTTGACCGCATCTAATGCAAACAAAGTAAGGCGGTGAAACGGACGGTGGCCTTGCCGAAGCTGGGGCGTTGGAGCCCTAACTCACGCTGTTTCCCAGCCCAACCTAGAGCCCTAGAGCGGGTACAATGACTTGATCATCATCGCCACCCGTGATCACCCGTGGACGGCTTGTTGACCATGATGGTCCTGATCTTCAGCTTCATCATCGCTCTCGCTTTCGCCAAAGCCAACCAACAGCGCCGCCGCAGGAATAACAGGTATATGAGCAGCAGTTCAACACCACGAAAACACAGCGAAACTAACTTCTAGTAGTACTAGTCGTCGTGTTAGTCGTAGTCGTAGTCGTACTAGTACTTATGGTAGACGTCGTAGTTGTAGCAGCAGCAGCAGCAGCAGCAGCAGCAGCAGCAGCAATAGCAGTACAAGTAGTAGTCGCCGTCATAGCCACAGCCGTAGCCGCAGTCATAGTCATGGTCGTAGTCGTTTGATTATGACTA